ATAATTTTAAAAGTATACGAGTATTTAATAATATGGTAAATACAAAATCGAAACTAATGAAATATTTTTTTTTTATTTTCACATTCTCCTATACATATTGTATTACGTGAAAAAAATATTTTGTTATGTCATTTTTTGATTTAATATATTTAATTGTATAATATTTTACCCTTACCTCTAAAAATATGTCTGCGCAATCATGTACCACTAATACTAATGATCCAACTCGATGTAAATTACATACCCAACTCAATGACATTAGTAGTAATGTTACCATGTGATGTATGAACATTTGCCAAAAATCCTTACGTTTAACATCGAAAAATTGAGTTACGCTCAGGGCCCAATAAAAAGACATTGATATCATATAGTACCACCATATGTCATCTGTGATTGACTTGAAAATTTAAATTAAATATTAATGTTAAATAAATGAATTTTTATATAATATATTACAGGATAGACAATGGGGCTATTTCCCGTTCAGTGGATACCTGAAATAATGTTTCCTTTAGTTTCGTTTACATTTGGCATAACTACAATCATATTATTCTTTATAGTAAAATTCAATTTCCGTTTGTTTGTGTCCACGAGTATAGCACAAGTATTACAATCTATACATGCTATACATGGTAGAAACATAGACGACTATAAACTATAGACACGAACAAAATAAATTTAACGTAGATCGCTATATATGATTAATAAAACCTTGTTTTCAAAACAAGGTTTTAGTAATTTAGTTAATCACAGGAGGTGTGAAAAAAGTTGTTATCCAATTGTATATTTGTTGTTATAATAAAAAATGTTTGACATATTTTAAAACATATGAGTAAAAATAGTTTTGTGTATAAATGAAAGGTGATACATATAAATATTGTCAGATATAAATGTGGTTATTTATACCTCGCAGAATGTTTGGAATTTTCTGTTCCTGCACGACCTTTGAAATAACAAGTACATAAAAGTACTCATAGAAATTCAACCTTGTGTAAAAACTTCAATTTACAATTTAATTTGCTGTAACGGCTGTTATATCCATATTCAAATGTTTTTAAGAACATAAAAGATTAACTTGTACTGAACAAGAACGTTTAGAAGATAGCAGAAGATTTGTTAAATCAGCAAGTGGAAGAACTTGAAATTTAACGGGAAGAAAAACAGTTCATTTCACTTAAGAGCAGCTCACTAAAAAATTTGTTATTTGAAATCACTGATGATTTAAAATATTTTTACAAAAACATTGGAAACGTTCTAATTTCAAATAACGTCATTTCGTGCTTTCGTTATACCGAAACATTTTATGTCAAAATTTGAAATTCAGGGTAAAATGTGACGAAAAGCACATACATTACATAAATCAAATGCAACAATCAAATAATAATTGATGTGCTAGGTTTTGTAGCATGGAACTCACACGGATTAAAAAATCATCAAAGAGAACTACAAGTTCTCTTTAATTTAAAAGAAATTGACGTCGGTCTTATATGTGAAATATACTTCACGCGCCAATCTCGCATCAAACTAATTATCTAAGCAATCACTATCAGTGATTTAAACTTAGTTGCTGGAATTAACTGCTGGCTGGCAGTGCTATAATTAAAACAAAGTATAGAACAATTCAACATAAAAGATCAAGTAAAAAGTGAAGGATCAAAAATATGAGGCAGTAAATGAGAAAACAGTTTGGTACTAATTAATTACAGTGAAAGTATTAAATCAGCTTCTTAGCAAAAGTTTACTTGAATTGGATGAATTTAATTTATATACGTCTCTAATACATTCCGAGCTTGTAAAAATTTGCTAAGATGATAACAAAGTCGAAGTCAGAAAAATACTCCCACATAGTTCATTCTTACGACCAACGTTCCTTCTACCACAAATTTCAAATCTAAAAGAGAAATTAATTTTTAATCGCATAAAACCAATTAATAAATGTTTTGATCTGGTGCTTTCTTACCAATGTGGATTTTACTGTCCACTAAGAGCAAATGACCACTTCCGCTTGTAACAGACACTCATACAGCCATACTTGTAACAGAAAAAACATAAAAGCATCTATATTTTACTAACCAAAAAGCAAATTATCATTTAATTAAACAACTAGGCGTGTCTATTTCATATGCAAATAATGATGAATTACTTAGCATAACTCTTGATGCAAAATAAGATTTGACTGACTTATCGAATGAAGATCATTTCGACAAAAAATTAATTAATGATATAAATGAATACAATTTATTATGAACCAACTTTTTACAAAAAAATCTGTTAAAATGTTAATTGTTTTTATCATTTCAAATTTCCGTAGTTAATGAAGTTACTAATATACAAGGTAAGGCGATTGAAGTATTACCAACTACTCAATCTGATATAACCAATTACGTAAAATTCCAAAACATTACAGCTGTATTGTTTACAAGCTGCCACAAGCATTTGCGTCTTAGTTTTATACAACAAACGTTATTTGAAATGGAATGTAGTAGTGGGATTGCGTTATATTTGGCTGGAAAACCAAAATCAAACACCTTATAAGCTCAAACACAAAGTGAAATGTTTATGTACCGTACCATAAATCGTTATAATAGTACAGACAGTGTCGCCAAATGCTATAGTGGTGGACGAAGAAAACCAGTAACATTACCTGAAATGATTCGGAAAATGGTGACCAAATGGTCAAAAAATTAAAAATATGCCAGCAAAGCATCCGACGTATATTCCAAAATGACTCCAGGTAAAGCCTTACAAGTTCTAAAAGGCAAAAGATCCTACATCAAAGCAACAAAAGATGAGACTCGAAAAAGTAAACGAGTTATTACGCTTTCACGAACGTGGCGAATTTCCAAATATTGTGTTCTCATTAATTGAGAATAATTTAGTTCATTAACTCTCAAAATGATCGTGTCTACTTACACAATTTGAGACTATGACCCAAAGTAATTTTCCACCTTATGTAATGGTATGGGCAACTGTAACCGTCGATGGACCCTCAACGTAGACCACGGACGGTTCAACAGGACTCGGCACCGTCTCATAAAACTCATGTGAACCAAGAATAGTTAAAAAATCACGTTCCACAGTTCATTTCGTCAACACAACGGCTTTCGAGTTCATCAAATGCAAATCCGATGAATTCCATCTGAGCTATTTTGGAAAGTAAAGTGAAGACAAAAAAAAATTGCCTGTATGGATGCGCTGAAGAAAGTCATCGTTCAGGAATGGGTCAAAATATCGGAAATTCACATTCACGAACCATTCAACTCATTCTTGAATCGTTTGAAAGCCATAGTCAAGGCAAAAGGTGGCCATATCGAGATGAATTGATTCTGAAATTTTGATTTTATCCACAAATTTTTGTAATTTGAATCAATAAAAAATAAATTCACAGAAACAAGATATGGTCACCTGAATAGGTAACATTTCAATCGTCTGACCCTGTACCTATAACCGAGGTAGAAACATGCGAATATTTGTTAAAAGTCTTAAAGCATAAAACACATGTTATAAAATTATCTTTCGAAAACAATATTGTTTGGAAGAATTATATATATAGAATTCAAAGTAAATGTAAGGACATTAATGAATTAACTAAAGTATGACCTTGATTAAAGCAACTAATAGAATTCGAGGGTGTTGCAATAACCAAGGTTGGTGCAATAATCGAGTTTAGTTTATTAAGTTTTTTTTATTATTTAAATGAGCATGATGTCGTATACAAAATTCCATGTGGAGGTGACGGGTCTAACATATGCCAGCATGTATATGTTGGTACAACAAAAAAACAAATTTAGGACGAGAATCGCTGGTCACAGACACGACATAAAGAGCAGAACAACTCCCGTTGACCAAAAGAGAGCATAAGCAACCCATTGCTCTATGATGAACCATACTCCAAATTTTGAAGAAGTACAGATCATCAACAAAGAGCCTAATTATAGACGTAGGTTAATGCTTGAAATGTTACATATCATTCATGTTCCGGACAATCAGAGACTAAACTACAAAAAAGACACAGAGGGTCCTGCACAAATTTACAGGTCTCTGATTAACCATAGAAAAACTTGATATATATTTATAACTTTAAAAAAAGTTTTTAATTTATCCTCCATTGTTACCTATTTAACAAATATTTTCGTTTTTTTGATTTTAATTTAAATTTTATTATTTTTTCAAATGAATGTTTTGCTTTTGTTTAAATAAATTTAAATGTTAAAAATGTCAAACATTGAAAGAGACAACAATGTTTGTCATTTTTGGTTTTTTTTTTGAATATATGTTTATTTACATATATTTAAATATGTAATTTCTTTATATACACTGAAGATG